AAAAAAACGAGTTTTCAAATTTTCGTCAAAAAAATATGTAGTAAAGTAGATATATAAGAGGCACAGTAGAGTTTTGAGTGGCTTTACTTGTAAATGGGAAATTGGTGCTTCAGATTTGTTTATAAACACTCCACTTCCTAATACTGTTGTCGAAATTCTTAATTGCAGTCCATAGACGTGATGGATTACTCGCTTCTAGTCGGGGTTGATGAGGAGAAGCACGAGCTTGTTCTTGGAATTATCGACTTCATGAGGCAGTACACATGGGACAAGCACCTCGAGACATGGGTCAAGGCTTCGGGCATCCTCGGCGGGCCCAAAAACGCGTCCCCAACCGTAATTTCCCCAAAGCAATACAAGAGAAGGTTCCGGAAAGCCATGACGACCTATTTCTTGATGGTCCCCGATCAATGGTCACCCCCTACAATTGCTCCTAGCAAGTCAATGTCCGACTTAAACGAGGAGAACTCATAGAATGAAAAACCAAAAAGCACTCGGTTTTTTTTTCCTTGTCTGTACATTTTGTTCGTCAATTTTTTCCTATTCTTTTGGAGACCGGTTACTTCCTAGCTCTCGTTTTTAGCGGTTTTTCAAGCCTCGGTTAGGAGTCCCCCACACCTTGTCTAGATATTGGATGAGCCCACACAAGGTTATAATTCTTTCGTTTGTATACATGTGATGATCTGGTGTTCACTTTAGTCTCCTCCCTGTTATAGTACTTTGGAAAGCTGTGGAGTTGTATATGAAGTGGAAATATGTTGGGTATAATTTTTGTACAGATGAGGAGGTTCTGTAATGGCTCAAAATCTTCTTTCATTTTCTGAGTTTCTTTTATCAGTTTGACGTTGAACTTTTTGATTTGTGTTCTATTTTGTTGGTCATACTTAAACTTTAGGGTTCTGAAAACTGGGCTGGTGAACAGAAATGCATTTTTTTTATACAACTATTCTTGAGGTTCGTTAGGAATGTATGTTATTTTTTTATTAAACAATGTATTAAAACTGGGCTTCTTATTAAATATTATTCACACTAGATTTATGAAGAGTTAATAACATTCTTGAATAGTAGTATCCATAATGCCCCAACAAAACATGTACATGTATTTTACAATTTTTAGCCTGAAGTCAAACATTTTATTTATTTATAAACAGATATATATATATATATATATTTTTTTTTTCCAAATTATTGCAAAGTTAAAATCCCCTGTGCCCAGCCACACCTTTGTGATCTGCTGTACTTGTGAACTCACTCTCAACACCCACCTGAACCCAACACCTCTGCAGCAACTCTATTATCTCCAAATCTCTGCTGTCTCAAATTAAATCAACACTATTTATTTTCATTTATTCACTGTAAAATCATTTTTTTTTTGTTTATAATAATAATAATAATTATAGGGGGAAATTATTATTATTATTATTCTTATTATTATTAATATAAGGGGAAATGCTATAGTCCCGTTACAGAAACCATTCCGTTGGAGTTTTTAACTCTTAAATCATCATGTAACCGTTAGGGATCGTTAGGGATAGCTGATCTAACGGTTACAAATCCCGACAGAATGATTCCGTATCGGGACTGTAGCATCTCCATTTATAGGTACCTTGGACTACAAGAACATAATGATATTTGCTGGTGAAAACGAGGGCCCTCATCATAACCTTCACAAGTAATCTCCCCATTTTCATCTCTGTAGCAAACAATACCAGCTGACCTATCCTCAAATATCTGTAACAGCAATTGAAAATCATAAAAACAAAATTAACAAAAAAAAAAAAATATTTCAAAAAAGATACAATCTTTTTCCTTAATAAAAAAAAGGGACCTTGTTCTTCTTGTGACCATGATCAGACAATTTGATCTGAGGATTAACTGATATGCCATTTTTGGCACACATAAAAAATCTACTCTTGTTGGGCACTTTGTTAGTTGATGAGACATGGCTTAAGGGCAGTGGCAGAGCTGAACAGAGGGAGAGCCTTATTATAGCCATTGATTTTGATCTTCAGTTTTATTATTATGGGGGAGAAAATGGAAAAAAAAGGATTTAATAGAGTTTTGTGGGACTTTAATCTTAATGGAGAATGATGGGGCAACATTAGATTATATGTAATAAAATTTGGTTGAATTTGGGAATTTTGGGAATTGTATTTTTTTTTTTTTTTTTTT